AATAGGGAAATAAAAAGAAAGAGAGGAAAAAGTGTGAGAAAGAAGGGAAGAAAAAGAAAGAGTGAAGGGAAGAGAGGGGGTAGGGGGGGTTATAAGGTGCAAATGGCAAAGTACGAAACGTCGGAACGGATTCTCCTGTGTTCTCCCCCAGGGGTAACGTTGAATCGGCCGCGAAACTGCTTGTTCATTACGTATTTGCAGCGCGAATTCTCTCCCGACTAAGGGAGATTTGAGTAGTTGACTTTCATCGGCTGCGAGATATCCCCTTAAGAGACGTCAGGTCCACGGGGATCGGGAAAAAGTGTCTTTCGCTGCTTCTTCAGCTGTCTGGATTGTGCGTCCGACCCCTTTGTCGGACGGTGAGCGTTGCGCTCCAGGTGATTGCACAGCATTCGTTGGTAAATATTTCGCAGCCGGCCGATAGTTTGCCTCGCACGGACGTCTACAGTTTGGCATCGGGTCGGAGGAAGAATTGACGCGAACGGTTCTGTTAGGAGAATCACTTTGATAGTTGGAAGATGGAGGACTGGCAGGTTGATCAGTAATTTAAGGTGATTGTGCGATTACACATATATGAGTCTTGAGAATTGAAGAAATTGATTCAATGAAACGAGAATTGTGTGATTATATTAATCTTCAAAAGATTTGCTTCACTCTGTGTGAAACAATAAGAATTATTAACCCTTCGCAATTGAATATTAAATTTTACTCCAATAGCTACGTATTTCATTAGCCTTTACTATATTTAATCATAATTGTATCATATATTAGCTCAATTTTAGTAATCTTCGATACTAAATGAAGTTCTAGGTTCTCAAAGAATTAAAAACAGAAGAATTAATTCAGCTTCGATCCACATTTTCTCTCTCCTTTCTCAATCAGCGAAACAGAATTACGAATTCCTTTCGGAACCTACACACAGAATCCCTCGAAAATCAGCAAAAGCAATCTCCCAGGCCCTCGAACCGAGTCAATACCGAAACCACGGAAAAACAAGGAACAAAGGCGAGATCTTCCAGCAACCGTCCTTAACTCGAGTTCCTCGCGCCGGAAAGAAGCGGAACGTCAGTTCCGAGCGGAGAAGGGGCGAACGTAACGATCGTCATCAAGTTGCGCCGGCAGTCGTTAACAACCCGCGTTGCTGGTCCATACGCGAGTACCTACTCCCGACAGTCGAGATCTTACGAGACATTGCGAGAGCATCGCTTATCAGCAAACAAGCTGTGACTAGTGTACCATCGTAATTCCTCGAGGAAGGGCGGAACGAAAGCATTACGGGTTAGAGGGCGGGGGGACGGCGCTAAGGTTAGAGGTGACGGCAGCAAGTTCGGTCTGCGTCAGGACTTTTCCAGGTGGTCGTACGTCAAACCACGGAACGACAGTGGGAAGGACTTCCCCCGACACGCGTACACGTGCACACTTCGAATCCAAACCACCCCCGCAGTATCTTTCCACTCCACTTACTGGTTAAGGGAGCCGAGGCAACAGTCGGCGGGATTCTGGGAACCACCTGCAGTGGGTCCTAGCGCGCGAGGTGTGCGCACGTAATTACGAGGATGTAATCCGCGCTACGACAAAACTTCAATCGTTATAACCGAGTCGTCTCGCAAGTCACCGAACTGCTTAAAACAGCCTCAACGAATACGTTTCCGGCGAAACAAGGCGCAACGCCTCGCCTCGCAACGCCTCGCCTCGCCTCGCCACGCCACGTCGTGCCACACTTGCAGCTTTCCAACGATCTTGCATAGCTTCGCTTCGCGCGTCTCTCTTATCCTCCGCGTGACAGTTCGGTGACAGGCAGACACGTGCCCGAGCACGTTAACTTGACGGTGTCGCGGCAGTGAATTATGAAACTACGGCTTCGTTCCGTAAATTAATTATTGCTTACCTGGGAATCGCTCGATCGGGGATGTTGATACAATAAATGCGCCGGATGGGGTGAGTTATGGGAATCGATTTACTTGTACAGCGATTCTGAGGTCTAAGTTGTTTTGAGCTCGGTGCTCGGTGATTTGATTGTTTGCAATGGGGATGACTTGTAGGTGACGTTTGACTTGGTATAGAGAGATCGTGGGATTCGATAGTTGATAGCGAGTTTTGTGGAACGTGATCAAATATGGGATGTTGGAATAAAATGGATGTATCTATTGATTTGTGTACGTGTTGTTTTTGTTTAGTACTGTCGATGATTTTGTTAATGTTTTATTGGAGAATGATGAGTATATGTGGTAAGAAAACTTTTGAGTGTGGTGGGTTAACTATTATTGGAAACGTAGTCGATGACTTGAAGTTTTTTATTTAGATTTTATATTTGGAGTGAATTAATATTTTGATATGTCCAGCCAACAAAATTTTTATTTAGAATCTAGCAGAGGCAGGAGGATTGAAACCAATTTTGATGAAAAATTTTGACTCTTTAATTTGTATTTAATTAAGGCAATTATTTTAATTTTAGAAAGTTTTAATTATTGAAAGCTTACCATTCATATTTATGATTACTGTTATTGTTTACGTCGTTTAGAGAAAGGAGAAAGTTCAGAAGCTAGAGGATATGAACATTACCAGTATTAAAAAGTGAAATATTATTAATGTAAAGCATAGTGACAAATCTGTTGTCTGAAAATTTTGTAGAGTCCTGGTACGTTGAGAAAATGTAATTTTTCTAATCGCTGTTTGTATGTAATAATTTATTAAAGAATTAATAATTTATTAAAGTTGTCTGTTAGTTTTGAAATTCTATCATCTGATTCTTGATAAATAAAGTACTAACATATTTAATGAACATTACTCCAATTGAATAAAGTGTAGTGATCAGGCAAAACTATATATATATATTCAATGAAAATAGATATTCCTGCTAAAACATCGTGACCGGTTAAGGATATTGAAACCAATGAGTTACAAAAATAAATTTCCGGTGACCTCGTATCACCGGAGTCTGCGTAGTATTCAATATAATACTTATTAAATGTTCAAATGGTCAGACTTCAAATTAACTGGATACACTGAAGACAGATGGTCCACATCCATTATGCTAATTATTTTCAACTTTAATGAATCTAGTGATAACGAAAAAAATAGAAAATTCATTGAAAGAGAGAAAACATTGACGTAGGAAACTTAACATTTTCAAGTATACTTGCTGTAGTTAAATAATTTTGAATATTTGTTCGTTAAAAATAAAATGTTAA